TGTCAGTATTATGTGGACACCGGGCCAAGGGCGACATGGAGGGATCCATGAAGAAAGGCTGGTACGCGGTCTAAACTGTAGCCACGGGTCGTTAGCTATGTATTAGACATTGCCAGAGCTTGTTTTCATCTTCAATACCTGCTATTGCATTCTTGTAGTTTCGATCTTGGCAAAAATGTCGGATTGATGAGTGAACATCTAACCTCCAAAAACATACAACAGAAGGGATTCGCTGGTGGTCACCCACCCAACTACTAACCTCCCGGCGTGTGGCTTAAGTACGGCTGAGCGGACGGGAAGCCCTGTTTTCCACACCCTGTGGTCGTATGTGGTGAACTTATCATTTGATAGATTCTTATCGTGCTCCGCGGTCCGATACATTGCAATCTACTTGCAAACTCATACAATTGAGGGTAGCATCTATATCCCCTACGGCATGCCCTGATAGGCTAGGGACTCGGCCCGTTCTGTTACATTCATACAGAAGAAGAATGATGCTAGCTACTCGAATATATTGTATCTTCGATTTTCCAAATATATAACATTGAAGTCCAGCTGCTTAAGAATATAACTGGTATGGGACGAGTCGGTCTAAATCCACAGCCCGGCGCTCCAAGTAGAACAGGAAGGGCTTAAAGGGAAAGCAAGCCACAAGAGACATCACAAATTCGTACAAATCAATACTCTACTTGATACTACTTGATAAAGGTTGTACATCTTGATGCAGTAGTGCCTAGGATTAAAATAAGCTCTACCCTATTAAAGTCGCTGTGGCAGCGTAGTAAGCCGCCATTTGATCCTCATCCTGGAACTCCCCATGCTAAGATCCATTCGGAAAACTCCTTTGTTTCGAGCCTTCATTCGTCGACTTCCCCTTGCGTCATGGCGAATGCTAAGCGTGTGATCAATGACACCAGTAACATAGAACACTGTCTGGTGAACACACAACCTTGTCAATATCACCTCAAGCCTTTCCTGGCAAGCTACCTTCTTCCATGTCTTCGTCCATGTCTTCGTCCTTGTCTTCGTCCTTGTCCTCGTCCTTGTCCTCGTCCTTGTCCTCGCCCTTGTTGCCAGTGGCCACAAACCCACCACGCCTGAAATCCTTCTCTCTCTCCAACTCATCATATTCCTCCGGGGTAAACTCGTAGACTTTCAAGTGCTCTGGAATATCCTCGTATGTAATGTTTTCTGTGGCCCACAATTCCCATAGCTCATCTCTGTGCTCCCGGGGCACCCCGTGCTTGATGTGGAAGGCATATCCACAAAAGACGATTTCGGTCACATGCTCTCCGGGCTCGTGTATTTCTATCCCTCCTTCTCCTAGCTCCATATGTTCTTCGTCACGTTCGCCTTTTGGGACTGTCTCAGGATGCTTCTCCATATTCAATAGAAAGGCCTGTCAAACCTCAGTGGGATGCTGGTAACCACGGTCCACAGTGGCTATTGTCTGACAGTAGGGATATCTGGGTAGGATTACGCGAAGGGGATAACGGTTTCGCAGATTGAGGTGTATGAGGGCGGTGATTTGGTGGAGGATTCGGTAGTGTTGTCTAGATGAACGGAGTGCAAAGTAAAGGGTCAGAATAGCCATTAAATAACCTTGAAACACTCTTTAGGCAGCAGAGTTGCAGGGGTTCGCCGAAAATTGATGTAACCTTTTCGGCAGTCTCCGCAGCGTGTACATTTTAGGTAACGGTATCTGCGACAAGGGTACCTCAGTACCCAGTGGCACAAAAAGAGTATTGGGAAGGACAAAAGATCTCACTCGGTTTATCAACCGGCTAGTCAGCTTGCGGTCCACGGTGACCATGGGCGTTGTTCATTCACCTAAATGGGTAAGCCTAGTTCAGGTCGGTAGTCGATGCTGCTATCTTCCGGGATACATGTGGTGCAACGTTGATGACGGAAGGGGTTACAGGCCTATCACAACAATGTTGGGGCACATAGCACGACAGAGGCATATACGGCTTAGTATGAGGCAGTCCCCTAATAATACATGCGGCCTACCTATTAGCGCTGTGTTGCATACGAGGCTTTATTTTGTTCTACCAGATCCATTGAGACTATTCAGATTGGTGTCTGATCTGAGTACACTGCACTTTGCCGATAGGGTACGGGTCTAGGCTTTTGCGTGACGGTGCGAGTGGTGCAATGGAGAATGATAAGACAACCAAAAAAATGAAAAGGAGGATTGCCGATGCAGTACCTGGTAGCAATATGTGGGTCTTCCATTGTTCTTTGTGACCACTACATCCGTATTCACTGGCACTTTTGGGTCTCAATTGACCCCTGTTTCTCTCTTATGTTCTGTCTAACTCGCAATCAGAATCTCCAAGATCAGAAAGTCTTACACTATCAATGTAGTGCTTCGTGGAACATTATTCAACGAAGTTGTGATATGTGATTCTCTCTGTGCTCAATATTGTACTACTGAGAGTAGTGCCTGCACAGTGTTTGGTCTATATCAGGCGCGAGTTTCCCGCGTCAGTTTCTGGAGAAAGGCGACCTGAATCCACATCAACAATCTCAAAATCCGATCTCAGAATTTTTGTTTCCTTCCCCCATTATCAGACTTTCTAGTATGCTCACCCTTTCTTCTTCAGTGGTTATTCTAACCATTATGTGTTCCTTGGCGCCTGCTGTTACTATCCGCAACTACGAAGAACGCAATTGCCGAAATATCAGGGGTAGATTTGCGGCATGTCGGAATGCAGCTGAGCGTGCGTGCTGCGACAACAGACCAGCGCCCACCTTTTCATCAAGCAAATTCACCGGTCTGCCACCAACCGCCATAGGGTCTATATGCACTCACCTTCGGGGACAGAATTGTGGCCTCGACAGGGACAGCGGTCATGGACTAAGCCTGTGTCTCAACTACCCTAAATCCCGTGGGGCATGGTGGTTCGATTGCCGTAACTGCCGAAGGCCGGATCAGCAGATATCTGACTTGGAGCTGGCCATGGCACACAAAGCGAACACCTCAGTCGAACCGGACATGATCGGCTTTGATGGACACGATTTTAGCATCAACGAGTCTACAACGAAGGGTATACGGGATACTCTTCTTGCTTACTTTGATTCCGACACAACCTATGCCGATATTCCCGAGGAATATCGAATCTAGAAGTGTTCGAGGATGCGGAGGATTAACAGGTATTTTTCACAGAACTTTTGGTTAGGCTTCTTGGTTTGGTGGATATTGGTCCAATTTCAATTCAACACCACTCATATCCTTATACCTGATTGACCCTGCTGTGGAAGATGCTAGCTATGCAGGTGCTTTACCATTTGAAGCAGATAATATGGCCCGAAACGCCTCAAATCTCTCAAATCCCGTAGTATACAGATGTATCCTATGGAAAAGGCGCCACAGCGACGTAGGAAGATAGTCGCTGTCGCTATAAGCACAACTAAACGGAAAAGGCATAGTCATACAAGATTCAGAAATGTAAAACAAGCGTCGCAGTTGACCAGCCGACCACGTGGTTTTGCCTCAGGTCGGGGCTAACTAGTTCCGGAACAGGATCGAGTTCAAGCGTGTCTCCAGCATGATTCGGCTGCTGGATGCGTATGTGTGGGTGTCATCTGTAATTATTATAAAAGTAAAAGAGGTCCAGTGTAGTCAACATCGTTGACCTCGTTTTTCCAAACATCGCATCAGCTTTCATGGGGGGAGGAGCTACCGCGACATCGGCCAGGGTTTTTCCACACCACATTATGCTAATGCCACTCCCTGCTGCCGAGTTTAGAGGGCGATGCTTCTAACTCAATTTGATAGAGCCTGCTTTTAGTGCGGGCAGAAACCTTCCAGTCTACATCAAAAAAGACAATTAATTACCTGCCTGAGGTATATTTACTGCCTACAGCTACAACGAATCATAAAGTTGGGCAGTATATTATTATCCGTACTAGGAGCAGACTTTGTCTTATAAGGTCTAAGCCTTACTCTCTGCAGTAAGCAGAAAGTAGGCAGGGGTATGGCATGAGCGAATTCTTGTATGGAAGAAACCTGGTAGGTGTGGCGGTAACGCCCCCCTTCATTGGATGCATGGTAGAAGATATCTACTCTATAGCAGAGCCATTGCGAGTTACCACTCGCATAAGATACTCACAACGGAGTAGATAGTAGGTATCACTAGTCGAGATAAGGACATGCAAGTCCCGAAAACGCGCAAGCAGCTGCAGGCCGCTCGGACTTCCTTTCCCTGTTCTACTTAGTTCTAGAGCGGGAAGAGTCAATCGCGCATGAGTTGGCCAGGGTCTTGCTCGGCCCTACGGACTAGTGGGGTAGCCATTTAGATAATGATTGCCGCTTCTTCCGTGTTTATTTCTTTCGTCCACGTTTTCCTCTCTGCCTGGCGTATAGATAATCTCTCTTCTCTCCTCCCTTGATGATAGACTTGATTGATTCATACATACATGATTCATACATACCATGTCGCAAGCGCCGACTTTCAACAAACCTTCCACTCCATCTAATCAGGGGAATAACCAAGAGGAACAGCCGAACTCGCAGCAAACAAATTCTGAGCATGAGGCTCTCCTGCCGGAAAGAGAGCCACGGGGGCCTCCAAACGCTCCTGTGGTCATATTTTGTATCTCCTGTATCACTTTTATTGGTTCTTATCTAGGTGGCCTTGTCACCGTGTCTGTTCCACAAATCTCCTCGGATCTACGCCTAAGTCCTGGAGGGGAGTTATGGTGTGTTACAAATTTTTGCGTTGTGGTCGCATCAAACAAAAGACAGAACTGACAAAGAGATGAAATAGGCCAGTATCAATGTTCGCACTGGGAACAGGGTGCACACTCCTCATTTCGGGTGCCATCTCCGATGCGGTAGGCAGTAAAGCAACTTTACTCGCGGGATGCTTTCTACAAAGCGTTTCCTCGATGGCCTGTGGCCTCGCTCAAAGCGGAACCCAACTTATCATTTTCAGAATCATTTCTGGTGTCGCGGCCTCACTCTGTATGCCGTCTGCCATGAGCATCATTGGTGAGCACTTCCCATCAGGAAAGCTCAGGAATCTTGCCTTTGCTCTGATGGGATCGGGTCAACCCATCGGATTCGGTGTCGGACTTCTTCTGGGTGGTGTTTTTGCAGACACTGTGAGCTGGCGCTGGGGCTTTTACGGCGCAGCGATTGCCAATACCCCGGTCTTGCTTCTATCGGTACGGCAATTGCCCGCCAGGACTTCTGAGCAACAGGGTGTTTCATGGCGTAATATCTTCTTTGGGATTGACTGGATCGGAGCTCTTACTTCAAGTGCTGCGCTGGCTCTACTCTCATATGCTTTGGCGTTCGTATATCCCAAGGTCGAGTTGACATGGAAAAATATCACTAACTTGGACTACTCACTATATTAGGGTCATTACAGATAATGTATCAAAGATTCATGAATCAAGCACCATTATATTTTTCTGCCTGTCTATCATTCTTATGTCCTTCTTCGCTTTCTGGCAAGGTCAACAAGAGCATCGATCTCGGCCCACCTTAATCAAAAATTCGTTGTGGAAGAACTCAGCCTTCACCTGCATCTGCGCCAGCGTATTCCTCATCTGGGGTGCCTTCAATGCTTTTGAGCAAATAGCCAACTTCTTCTTCCAGGACGTTCAGCAACTCTCCGTATTCAGTACTTCAGTACGCTTCATCCCAGTGACTGTCATGGGCGTACTCACAAGCCTGGTCACTGGCATGATTTTGCATCGAGTGCGCGCAGACTCCCTGATCAACTGGGCCACTATTCTCTCATCCCTCTCGCCGCTGCTCATAGCAATTATCAATCCCACGTGGACATATTGGCGCAGTGCATTCTTTGCCATGTGCCTCAACCCCATCGCGGCTGATGTTCTTTTTACTGTTTCGACCATTCTTATTGCTGGGATGTTTCCTGCGGAAACACAGGGACTGGCTGCCGGCGTATTCAATACAGTGTCGCAGTTCGGTCGAAGCATTGGGCTGGCATTAGTGGCGTTAATCGCAAATGGTGTGACTGATAAGTACGCTCAGTCGGAGAACAAGGAGAGTCCGGGGGCATTGATGGTTGGCTATCGGGCGGCCTTTTGGTTTCTTTTTGCGATGAATATTGTCAGTTTGGTGGTGAGTTCAATCGGGTTGCGGAAGATCGGGAAGAAAAAGGTCTTTGGGGGTCTAAGTCTTCGCGGGAATTACTGTCTGTGAAATTCATAGAAATCGATCAGTAGATAGAACATAAACAGATGATAGAGAACCAAAAGCAGTATTTATAGTCACGATGCTCTGGAATAAATATTATGACGGATATCCTACCACTCGCAAGCTGTTGACAACAAACATGATTCTATTTAGCCAATCGCCAATAGGAGTATCCCAGAGCTATAGCTCCCTACAACTTCGCCCTATTCTGACCCCTCTTCAATCTCAACCAATACTCATCCTTGGCCTTCAAAATCTCAAATGCCTCATCGGCCCACCTATCCTCGAAGGGGGCCAATCCAGCACCCTCACCCGCAATCTCCAACAACGCCTCAAAATACTCCCTAAAATCCGGCTTGATTTCATGGAACGCAACCCCATTCCCTTTAATTTTCAATCTCTCGAATTCCCACCGATCCTGCTCCGCCTGACTCGGCAGCTCCTTTGCCTGGCCAGAGAAATACCTCGCCACCGCAACAGCCTGGTACTCGTAGACGCGGAAGCTGAGAGCAGCACGCACCTGGCCCACCAGAGCCAGTGAGGGGTCCGAGATGCGGAAAATATGCTGGTAAAAGCCCGCGACGCGGTTATTAGCCGTGACGGGGTCCGGGACAAGGAAGGGGTAGGACGCGGTGTAGCCTGTGGCGAAGATGACACGGTCGATAGACTCGAGCTTGGTGCCGTCGGTGAAATGGGCTGTTACGGTGTTGTTTGTGCTTCCTGATGCCGTGGTAGGTTCGAGGCGAGACAGAGTGGGCTTGCGCTCGACATTGGGCAGGGTCCAGGCATTCTCGAGGGCTGGGTTGATACCGCGTTGGCTGATGTAGAGGGGTCCGGAGACGATCTCGTGGAGTTCGGTGACCAGGTCAGCGGCGGAGACGTTGCCGCCAATGATGAGGACGCGCTTGTTTACGTAGTTGTCGGCGTGGCGAAAGGCCTTGGCGTGTTCGAAGGCGTGGAGGTGTGTTAAGGCTGTGGTGGATAGGCCTGGGATAGATGGGATGGAAGGCACGTTGTAGTGACCTGAAGCGACAATTACTGCGTCGAAGGTCTCGGTCCACCAGTAGTCTTGGGGGAGGCCGCGGTAGAGCTGGCCAGTCTTACGGAGGGTGAGAGTCCATTCATGGCCGGTTTTCTCGACCCGTTCAACTGTTGTGCTTAGCGAGACGAGGTGCAGGTAGGGAATGAAGAGGTCCTCCAGGTAGTTGGCCACGGTACGGAACGGACGGGAAGCATTGGATGGGCCGAAGGTTTTGATTGAGGTTGACGAGTTGATTTCGGGAAATGGTGTGTGGGTGAAAGCCATTGTTTTGGCACCGACATTACTGTCGAGGTGGGAGTAAATCCCTGTTCTGGCACTGGTGTCTTCCGGGCGTGGAGAGGTGAACTGGGGAAGACTGGTGGGGATGTTGGGAGTCTGTGATGGGCTACCGGGGGCATGAAACGGGTCTGGGGCTGGGTCATAGTGCCAGATGCCTCCCACACGGTCGCGCCTCTCGAAGATCCGAATTATGTCAAAGGTATTCTCGTCATGGAGAGCCTTGACGGCGGAGAGGCCTGAAGGGCCTGTGCCAATGACAGCAATTCGACGATATCTAGGTGTCATGTTTGCATTTGCAGATTGATGTGACGTGGTATACAGATACATCCTACACCTCACGTCGATATATATACTGGCGGTTGTGCGGGGAAATCATCCCTTGGAGACATCATGTTGCGTGCTATTGCCGTTGCGTGATCGACGCTAGAATGAGCCATGCAGTTGGTTTGCCGGCCGTAAGCAGATTCGGGGACGATAAGTGGTCAATGGCATACCAAATCTTTCGGCAGATGGTGTCATCGGGATTGCTATCTCTACTTTTACGCAATACCTCGACTGTGACTGATAGTCTAGAAGTGATTACTCTATACATTTTCTCTATGAGGGTTATAGTGACCCCGTGATATCCTTC